AGTTCTGGCTTTAAGTGTGTGTGGTCATCAATCCTCACATGTTATACTGCACATTTCCAGTTAAGTCACACAATCCTCAAGGGTGTTTGTTGATGAGAGATGTTATTCTGTATGTTTCTCTTATTGGTTAATGAATAAAGTACTGCTTGACTAGTGGCCAGGCAGGAAGGATAGGCGGGGCTGCCAGATGAAGAGAATTCTGGGAGGTGTAGGCAGAGAGGAGTCGCCTTGTAGGATGCCAGAGGAGTAACAGGTCCCTGGACCTTTTTCCAGTAAGATAAGATCACGTGGAAATACTTAGATTAATAGAAATGGGCTTGTAATTAAGACAGAGCTAGCCAATAAGAAGCCCCTGTCATTGGCCAACAGTTTCATAATTAATATAAGACTCTGAGTGTTCATTTGGGACTCAAGAGGCTGTGGAACCAGGCTGGCTGGAAAGAGTGCTTGTAACAGTTTGTCTTTTATCTCTTTTTATGACCCATACTGTCTAATACAAAACCCTCTTATGCAAGGGCTTCATTTATACATTAGAAGAGATTCTCTTACATGAGAGAAGAACAATAGGTATGAATTAAGTATTTAGACATACCAACAGAAAAGGCTAGTATTTGCTCTTTCAATTTGGGAGATTGCATTAAAAATTTTTATATTTAATTTGAAGGATTTTGAGGGGATTCTCACCATACCTCCAAGAGTAAAGACAATGCTAGGTATTTTAAACAAGCCTTTGAAGGAACCTCAGTAACTGACTTCTAACCTCTCCCATGGTCTCATGGACTTAGGCCACACAGGATTCCTTCTTCATGTGAAGATTTGACAAGTCAGTGATAAACAAATGGTTAACTGGAATCTTAACAGATCACACTACTCCATGAAAATACTCATTAAAATTTTGTCTTCAGCAGGACCTCATTATTTTGTGTCTCTCTTTCTGGTTAAACATTTTATTCCAACATTAAATGTTATTTAATACTGTGCTACAGGTTATTTTTTATTACATTAGGAGAAATCCCTGTTTTCTAATAGTATAATAATTGTAATAATTTACATTTGAAAAAAATTCTTAAATAGGGGCTAGGGAAATGGCTCAGTGGGTAAAGTCTTTGCAAGTCAGCCTCCAGCCTTTACATGTATACCTGCATACATGCACATCTACATGTACACATATGATGCACACATACATATGCACAGAGAAATCCCTAGGTGTGTTTTTCAAGCACCATCCTGAATATTACCCAATATTGATAGCTTATGCTGGATTTTTTGGCAATTTTTATGTTTTTGTTGTTGTGTTTTTTATTTCCGTGAGAAATAGCCCAGGCTAGACTCAGATTTGAACCCTTGTTACTGGTTCTGCCCTACAAAGTTCTGGGATTACAGGTATGCACCCCAAGACTTGCTAATTCTAAATAAGACTCAAATGCAATTATGTGAAAAACATTCTGGTGAATTAAAAGTCATGAAGATTGACGGGCAGTGGTGGTGCATGCCTTTAATCCCAGCACTCGGGAGGCAGAGGCAGGCGGATCTCTGTGAGTGCGAGACCAGCCTGGTCTGCAAGAGCTAATTCCAGGACAGCCTCCAAAGCCACAGACAAACCCTGTATCGAAACGCACCCCCCCAAAAAGTCATCGAGATCAGCATGTTTTACAATGTCTCTTTATAAAAATATGATTAATGTGGAAAATAGTATCATGATTCTTTTAAATTTGGTTCCATCTGTCAGAACTATTTTACTCCAGCCACCTTTGGCTCACCAAACATGTCATTGCCAGTGCCCACTCCCACAGGGGTAAGAGGAGACTGTTAATTTTAGGTATTCACCTGAAATAACTTCTCAAATCTAGGAGTACTGCTCCTGGTCCTGACCACAGACTGACCAGCTGTTTAGGTAAGCTTTGATCATTTGCTTCTGATGTTTTAAATTAAGACCATGTGGGTGCTGTGGCCTGGGCAAAAGGGTGGAGAGACACTGGCAGACAGGGAGGTGTAGAGTTATTAGCCAATGTTTGCAAACGGTCTAGCTCCCGAAAACTTGAAAGACCTCAAAGGTCTCATACCCGAACATCATGCCCAAGGCTTGTGACTGGCTTGCTATTTCCCAGGGCCTATTATTTAGAGCCTGTCTGTGTTACCCTATCAAACAATGACGCCTCCTTCCCAGGTTTGCTCACCTGGCCACTGTCTCCTTCTGGGCACTGGAAGGGTGTATCAAAGCAATAGAACAAGTCACTGGCTATTTCTTCTCTTGCTCCCAAGGTTGGTATTGTTTCGGCATCTTAGACACACCCATTTTAATTAATTATGAAGTGTGTGTTTTGCAAGGCAGTTTTCTGCTTTATACAGGATACTTTTTTTTTAAGGGAAAAATCATTGTGAAATTGCATGGTGATTAAGACACAAGCAGCTGGAGGCAGTCTTGCTCAGAGTAGTGTTCACTTAGGTGCCTTTTCTTATGAAGACTTTGAATTGATTCCAAGGTCCCATGAAAAGCACTTGGGCCTCTGCTTCTTTTCAGGTTGCAAGGCACCTTATGGAACATCTGGGCCTCACACTGAGTACTGACACCCTAAGAATGGTGAGGCTCTTCCAGGATCTCAGTCTTTCAAGGGCGTGCACTATTTAAAGTGGATGCCACCGTCAACCTAGGTCCTCACCCAACCCAAACAAGGAAGGTTTTTACAGGAAGGACAACTCTTTCAGGGAAGGCAAATTTCCCTTTATTATAGTGCATTTTTGATGAAGAGGCAGGCATGAGGATGAGAGGTTAAAGCAAGAACGTGGCTTGCCACATGCCAGTGGCAGAGCTGACAGCAGGAAGCCCAGTGAAAAGCAGTTCAGTCTGCACATCTGAACTCAAGGCCAACAGTCTGATTCAGTGACAGTCTGGGCACTTCCGAAGTGCTGCTCATCTGGGGCATAAGACTACTTACCTGGAAGATGCTGTTCTCGAAATGCAACTCCTGGGCACCACCAGATCCACAGATACAATTTCCTGGAGGTGAGGATAGACATGCTGGATGACTAAGCACAAGGGAATTTAAAACCACCTGGGTCTTATTTACTCACTGAAGGATCTAAGAGTCTAGACCAGCAATTGACACAGCTCAACAAACACCTGTTGAATGAATGACAGCCCTAAATGGTTGGAGCCTTTAGAGGCTCTAATTATGGATCTCTGTTAGATCATCTAATTTAACATGCTATCACAAAACTGGTAAAATGTCCTATACCCCAAGGATATTTCTAGACTGGCAGGGTTGGGGGAGGGGCGGGGAATCGGGAAGCACCTCTGGTTTTGCAGAGGTCTCAGCAAATTTCTCACCTTAGCCGCCCTCTCCCTGCCTGGACTGAACTTCGAAGGAAGGTCAGTTGGGACAGAGAAAGTAGTAAACCTCACAGTTCTGCCCCCTGAAAAAGTGAAGGAAGGGCTTTGTTAACTTAGGAGTGAGACCCTAAATTCAGCACGCAAGTCTGTCACTCTGTTGGTAACTGAAGCTGGAGATGCTTCTATAAGCTTTCCAGTTTTATTCCAAGGCTGAATAGCCAAATGATCCAAATCCTTCCCTAATCCTTCAGGAAAGAACACAAAACAAAATGCCTTGCTGCTTGAAAGATATTAAGCGACCATTGTCTCTTCACTTGGCATGCTGTGGTCAGAACACTTGAGGACAGACTGAGATGCTAAGTCGGAAGGACTGAAATTCTGAGGATAGCTTGTACTACACAGCCACACCTGGCCCCCTGATGGGGGTGGGGAGGTGGAAAGTAAGAGGGAGGGAGATCCACCCAATCCTAAAGGAGAGTGGATCAAGAAAACTACTGCATACATACATATAGTGGAATACTGCTCAGCAAAGTAAGAGGAAAACCAAACAGTATGGATATAGCTCAAACACATCATGCAAATTCAAAGAAACCAACTCTAAGAGATTATAGATTAAATGTCGTGTGACTTGTCATTTACTATATTACAGAAAACACAAAGCTACAGCAAGGGAGAAGAGATCAGCAGGCTACCTGACCAAAGTTAAAAGTTGGAGACAAGATTTAAATATAAGGGAATTCTGGGGACGAAGCAATGAGTCTGGGTCCTGATGAAATAGTTACATACTAAACCTGTGCATGCATTCATCCTTATAGAACTGTGCCAAATAGGAAGGTTAATAGTAAAGTTATTAAAAACAGAGGCCAGACATCCACAACATAAACTCCTTAGGTCTCTGAGACATTTTCCTTGCCTTTATCAACACGGGATACACATATACAAGTGGTCTTGTAGTATGCGAGATAGAGGGACCACCGTTAAGCACATGGTCTATGATAAGTATATCATATCTAGGGCCAAATGCAGCATGTAATAACCCAGACGCTATCTTGTAGAAAATTCCTTTATTATAGTGCAAATAACTTTCAGCAGTGACATAATGTAACAACACATTTAACAATACTTTACACCACGCAGTAAATAAGAAAGTGTTTCTTTGAAAATATGTCATCCAAGGAACATTATCTTTACATTAATGCCAGAAAATGCCAAAGCTGTTTCCTCAAGGCAATAGGGCTCAATCCTCTTTTGGAAATTTTCTCTTAATGCACATGGATTTGCCATTTAGTGCATTGACAATTCTAAGAGTGATCTCTTAGGGGGTTTTAGAGAAATTGGCAGGATTTGAAACCGGGCTTCAAAATTTAAAAAAATACTAATTTTAAGACAATTCTGGGACAGCCCAGAAAGTAAAGTCACTTCAATTAACTTGATAGACACATTTACTCCAATTCTGCTGCAGATTGTCTAAAGCCTGCTTCTTATTTCCCCAGAGCCTGTTATCCCTTGGTTTTAGTTATTGCAAAACTAGGGCTCTGGGTGGATATAACTCCTTATGTATGCAAATACTTTCCCCCTGAAGCTTCAAATTGCACTTTCCATCCTGAAATTCCCACATTAGACCTCTCAGGCTGAGAGTGTGAACTTGTCCTCATTTCTAGCTAGCCATTAGGACAATGGGTGTGTCCCCTATTTATTTAGCTGGTCCAAAATGAAGCCATCACACCACTTAGACAAATCCCAGAAGGCTAGTCAGAGGACCCCTCTGACCTGTATGGCGATGGTTTAACATTGTTTTCCATACCAAGTCTGAGGGATCAGCTGCTGATGAGTTAGCTGACAGGCAGAGAAGTCACTCCCACTCCCCTGAATTACACACTCTTGGCCACTCAGAAGAGCCCTCTGGGGGGTGGTGTGGGGTGTTTACTACATAAGTTGAATCCAAGCTCTTACAAATATATTTCAGGGTGCTTTCTAAGATAAACACTCCTCAAAAGTGGCTTTTTGAACCATGAGAAATTTATCACAGGCTTAAAAAACACCTGGAGCTCTGAAACAGCTCTTATGGCTGACTATGGCTGAGGAGTCAGCGGGTACATAAAGCTTTGGAAGATGCAGCTGGTCTCGGTGGACAAGTCTTTGTATATAACACCATGGAACTGTGCTAAACAGTTTCAAAGTTGAGAAGGATCCAAATATATCATCTGTAAAAAATTCGTTATTTTAGTTTGCTTTATTTATCTTAAACTTTGGTTCTGAAACACTGTCTACATTCTTGACACATGAAGATGACATGGCCACTTCAGTGCCTCTGCATGTTGTGTAAAAAGAACCTTAAAAGCAAAGCAGGACAAGGGGATGCCCTAATAAGATACATACACTGTACAAACAAAACCTAAATTATATATAAACACACCCCCACCCAGCACCCCTTTCTTCTTCCTGGGCCAATGCCCGGGGCCCTTCTCTGTAGGACCAATGCCGTGTGTGAAACACAATCCTATGACTCTAACCATCCCCTACCTTTGCAGACACATCAATAATCTGCAGCCCACCACTAGAGATGGCTTCTATTTGATTAGTTCTGCAAGTGCAGGGAAGCAGTTTCACTGGAAGCATGAACACTACTGGCTGGACTCAATGACCTGAAATCATTACAATCTCTCAGATGACCTAACTGGATCCCACCTTATCCTACTTCCTGCAGAACAACACAGAGGCAGAGGCAGCATCACCTACTCAGAAGCTCCAAAGGCATTGCTGAGGGATACTGGGGAGGGTCTCAGAAGAAAAATTATGCAATGAGCTAACAGCCTAAGTTTATATAAATTATTTCCCAGTAAGTAATTTGGGGCAATTTGCTTCTGCCTTACACCGTGTTCTGGAATCATTTCGTAGTATACTATTAAAAACTGATATAATTTTAAAAGTTGTCTATGCAATCACCTCTTATATGCTTTCCATTAATTTAATAACAACTTAATGAGCTATTATGTAGACCTAGGGAGTAGTTCGCCTTAAGGAAGCCAATACCGTGCTAATTCACAGGAAGGAGAAAAAGCAATGCAAACAAAAGTTCACATTATCGACAAAAACTTGAGTTTTATCGAAATGTTGCAAAATTTCCCCAAAAGCACTTAAAGCAATTTATGTTAAGAAGCCAAAGTTGAGGGGAGTGGAGAATATGCTCAAATTCTTTAAGGTATAAATCCACTTGTTTTATGCTTGGACTACATAATACTCCCCCTCAGACCTAAGTTCATAATTTGTAGACATTGCTCATTCTCTAATACATTAATACATACACTGAATATAAATAAATAACTGACAAAGCTTAAAAATCCAGGTTAACATGATGCTGTGCTAAAAACAAAACAAAAACAAAACAACCCCCAAGAAAACATTAAGAAACCAAACCTTGCACAATCTACATTCTATGTAAATACCCTGACTAAAATGTCGGTTGTGCTACACAATTCCACTTTAGTGCAGAAATGTATCGATTTGATGTACCGTTGTTGTTTTTAAGGTCTTCAGCACTTTTGTTTCTAAATATCATCTTGCTCTGAAATGATAACTAATTGTTACCCAATCACAAATATCACAAATCCATTTTAGTTTAGTCTGAATAAAATCCAGCATAAATGTATTATTTTGTTCTGGGCATAATGGCTCGGTGTCTTTCTTGGGAGCTTTCTGCCTCTGGGCAAACCACAGATGAAGTTGTCATTCTGGACTTAAACTGCACAGAGAGAGACAGTGATGTTTGCCTTTTGTTTTTGTTTTCTTTTTAAGTCTGCAGATCTTGCTAGGACACTTCTTTCAGACAGTCATGGAGTTGTGGCACCTGATCATATTAGAAATAGAGTTTAAAACATCAGCCAAGTTTGGTGATCTGGAGGTCCCCATTGATCTTTATGGTATCAATTGCAGATAATGTTTGAATACGATGGTAAAAATCAAAAAGTTGGTGTCCATCCACAAACACTCTGAAACGTGGGTGCTCGCAAAGAATCTCCACCTAGAAGAAACAAATTAATAATTTAATTCACAATTTTGGATGAACCCCGCTGGAGGGAGAAAAAACCCTCATCAACAAACCCACACTTCATTAGGGAGAAGAAAAGCAACACCCCCAGTGAATCTCAAACATCACAGGATGCAGAAAGCTAGTTAAGAGTACAACACTGCTGGGTTCCACTCCTCCAACTCTCAATTCAGGAAGTTCAGGGCACAGTCTAAAAATCTACACTCTCACCAGTACCAAGCAGGGGATGAGGCTGGAGCAGGGAAGTCACTTTGAGAACCATGGCTCTGTATCAGTAAAAGTTCTCCAACAGGAAGCTGTGACAGTTCCTTCTGCACTCCATGCAGAGGCATAAAGGGGCACAGATCTGTTAATCGGACACCTGATGCTTTCATGTCACTTGCTGAACAGTTCCATCCCACCTACAGGGAGCCTCTCCTGGGGCATGGCCGGTAGTCATTAGTAGCATCTAATAATAGTCTAGACAAACATGGTAAACACTAAGGCAGGGGGAGGATTACATAGAAATTACCACTGGCCAAGAATGTGTAATTAACAAGGCTTTGTTAAGACAAACAAACACTGATTCTACATGGTAAACCCTTTTCCATAATTCACCAAAGAGGTTTCTTTTTTTCCTTTCTTCTTCTTCCTTCCTTGTTTGTTTTTTGTTTTTGTTTTTGTTTTTTTTCTTTTGATATGGGGGTTTCTCTATACAGCCCTGGCTGTCCTGGAACTCACTCTGTAGACCAGCCTGGCCTTGAACTTAAGAGAGCCACCGGCCTCTGTCTCTGTGCTGGGATTAAAGGTGTGTGCCACCTCCGCTGCCGCCACCACCACCACCAACACCACCACCTGGCCACCTAGAGTTTAATAACTGGCTGTGCTATGATGCTTTTAGAAAAGCATTGGTTATCACCATGCAGGAGACTCCATATGTGGTATTAGTCACATTTAATCCACATTACTATTTAAATTATATCATCAAGAAATTCTATTTCATCCCATTTTTTTGTTGTTAGGAAACACTATTTATTCCTCCTAGTGAGAAGGTCACAATCATGAATTATATGTGAAGATTTACCATCTGAGATAGCTCAGTTGGTGAAGCACTTTGCCTTGTAAGCAAGAGGACTTCATTTAATTCTCTACACCCCTTCACCCCCTACCCCAAATGTCAGGTCCCAAATGCACCTGTTATACCACTGGTGGAGAGGCAGAGATAGAGGCATAGCTGGGTTCACTGGCCAGCCAGTTTAGCCCAATTGATGAGATCCAGGCCATTGAAAGAGACCCTGTCTCAAAGGCGGTAGATGATGGTGTTCCTAAGGATAATGCCTGAATTGCCCTCTAGCCTCACTCACATCTCTCCTCTCTCTCTCTCTCTCTCTCTCTCTCTCTCTCTCTCTCACACACACACACACACACACACACACACACACACACATAGAGCTTACCATTTAAGAAACTGCATAGCAAGAGGAGCCCATGAGGGCTCACCATTCTAAAGGAGGAGCTGAGATAAAGGGTAGCTTCCTAGATTATTATTATAAGGGGAACAATCTCATTTCTTCCACTGATGTAAAAAAGTGATGGGTTTTTATTTTGCCATAGTCTATCAGGAAAGAAAAATCACCACAAGGCCTTGAGAAGTGCCACATGAAGAACATATTAAGAGCAGTTTTGTTTGTTCTTATATGCAGCATGGAGCCTTTAGTCAAGGTGCCATTATTGTGAGGCCTGGTAAGAAGATCTACGCAGACAACAGCCTGATCACCAGGCCCGATATGTCAGTAAGTCCTTTTTATATTACTGACTTGGATCTCTTATTGGCATTGTCCTGCAGAGGAATGTAGTGCTACCCGATGAGATGGCAAGTTTGGGTTGTATTTCCTGCCTGCTGGACAGCAGGAGCAAACTTACATTATCCAAGCCCCAGGGAAGAAATTTATCAGCCACAGTTTGTGACCATGAAACAGACAGGCTTAATTAACCCACAGGGGAAAATAAATACACAAATATAGATTCATTAGCAAAGGGAATGAGAGAGAATGAAATAATAATTACTAAATTGTTTTAAACCCATAACTAATAAGGTTTTGAGCTACTCAAAGGCTGGGAAATTCTGGATACTTATTAATATTTAATAATGAATCAGACACTTAGGGGTAGGTTATCACTACGTGCCTAACACTATGTTGGGAATTACAGAGAAAATTATTTACTAAATACTTTCAGCTTGGCTTGATGGTAAAGGTCTATAATCCCAGCTACTCTGTAAATTGAGCCAGGAGGATTACAAATTCAAGGCCAGCCTGGGCAATTTAGAGAGATCTTGTTTCAAAATAGAAATAAAAAAAGAGGGCTGGGAATATAGCTAAATTGTAGACCTTACCTAATGTGCACAAGGCCTTGGGTTCAATACCCAGTACTGGCCCCCAAAGTAAACAAATAAATAATTAATACCTCCATATTGGCTAAGTAGAATTGTGGTTAAGTATTTAGCAATTAGGTATGCATAGGGCATCCATTAACTAAACACATGGGCTGAACAGAATCAAGAACTACTGTGGCGAGTATTAATGTCTATCAGCAAACAGATCTCTCTTTTTTTTTTTTTTTTTTATTCTTTTCTCATGGCGGGGTGACAGGCTTCTTGGACATGAAGAAATTCTTAAAGAGCTCTTGGCACACAGTAGATAAGGAGTAGCAGCAGCCTTGCCAGCATGGCGTGTGCTAGAGGTACTTACCCTGAATGGCTGGTCTGGGATGAATGGGAAGTAAGGGATCGCTGATTGTTCTTCACCCCTTTCTCCTGAGATACAAGAGTTTCTGAGGAGCTGCCGGTCTGTGAACACAGCTTTGAGTTCAATCGCCACATCGGCAGGAGGATCTTCCGAGTCACCACAGGTCAAGCTGATGGCAAAGCTAAAAAGAAAATAGTGTCACTGAGCTGGAGTTAGATGTAACATTTTAACTCGACCCAGTTCCTCCTCCTGTGGGTTCATCGGCTTTTAATGGGCAGCTACTGTTTACAGAGTTTAAACACAGAGAAGATCACACTCAAACCAGTGGGTTTTGTTACCTAGAGTAGGCTCTGGTGAAAACTTCAGTGTAACTGAAAACAAACTGCAACTGAAGACTTCAAATGTCCTAGGCCAGCTATGCCTTAATCCATTTCAGAATTCTCAAAAACAGCTCCAGAAGTTGACAAGGGAAATATCATGTAAAGTTTGGTTCTTATTTATTCTAATAGCTTTTTACAATGTTTCAAAACCATAAAAAAGAAAAAGAAGTCTTTTGGCCTTCTCAAGGGTCAAAGAGGAACTGTAGGCCTATTTTTGTCATTGCTGATATAAATAGCTATCTAGAGAGATGATGGCTAGGATTCATACACATTCTTTTCATGGGAACATGGTACTTTCTTGGCACTCCTAAGTAGCAACACTGTCTACAAGAAGAGGAAGGAGGAGGAGGAAGCCACAGCTCAGCAACTGCAGGGCTCTACCCTTACCTTTCTGGGTTGAGGTCTACGATGCCCATCACTAATACCTTCTTGCCTGGCCGCATGCCACCTTTAATATGCCCACAAAATGGAACTATCTGCAAAGGAGTAGGGGAGAAACAGGAAGTTTACAGGCTGTTTGTTAGAGAAGAGCCAAGCCCTCGGCCCTGAGGACCTGACCCATCAGAAAGCAAGGAAAATGCATCAGAAAGGAAGGGTAAAGGCACAGGCACTGAGCACATTGATTTACCAGTCGTGGGAAGTACACGTCGGCTTGAACTGGAGAACCCAGGGAGTTGTTTAAGTGCCCATCATCAAGTTTCTAAAAATAGAAAAGCACACAGATTGGCTTTCCACAGACCCTTGCTTATTGGGGAGTGAATGGAAGTCTGTCGGAATCCTGCAGCCCTCCACAGACACATAGGCAGTGTCTGCAATGATGCCTCTTTATAGCTCATTAAATAACCGCGAAACAAAACCCGGCCTCTCTACTGGGTCTAAGCCTCTGATGATCCCCAGACTCTCAGACCGGATCAAATTCAAGGTCGCGGCCCACCGGGAGGCAAAGCTGGTGCAGGTGGGCTGCAGGCCCCTCTCCAAGCACAAATGCTCTTGGAACCTCTGCCCCCAGGCCTGTCCTCTGGGACACGGCTGGGGGGCAG